CATGCTGGCTGGGGAATTCTGGGATTTGAAGTCCACACAGCTTAAAGCGGCCAAAGTTGAGAAACACTGGTCTAGGAATTGGGTTTAAAATCCACAAAACAAGAACTCCATTTGTGGATTGAGTGCCCAGTTCCTGGGCTGATGTTCAAGGGCTAACGTTCCAGTTTCTTAGCTTTATTTTTTTCCCCCAGCTTTGCTCCGAATGTGGAGTTACAGGCTCCTTAGTCAAATCAACACGAGTGTAGAGTCAGTCTGCTCTTAGGGTTGCTTATCGTTGGCTTTTTCTGCTTTGCCCTTATATTGCAGGCGCTGTTCAGGGCTATCATCTAAGAGTCCTGACTGGGGGCTTTGCCTGCAGGATGGTAAGTGAACAGCATGTTTGTAAAAAACATTTGAGAGCAAAGAGAAACCCAGGACAAGTGACTCAGTTACAGACACCGAACAGCTTCAGACTCAAATTCTTTACGTTTTTCTGGAATCCCTTGTGAAATTCTCTCCCGTATCCTAAAGGCATAATTTACTGCTGAGATCTTTTAGAAGTTCAGTCTTAGGGGGCTATGTCATTGCTAAGCCCCCGTGCTCCTGTTTCCTAGTGGTTATTCTTCAGGTCTTCCTTCTTTAGCTTTTTTAAGCTCTGTTACAGGATCCAGGTGTGGAGACCCTGCACTGGGAACATCCCTAGATGCTCCGTGTGCCCTCTACTTCACGCAGCTTAAAACAGTTTTTCAGATATTCTTTTAATGTTTAACAAGAAGATGACACCTCTCTGGGACCCCTAGGCAGAAACTGGATGGTTGCGGCCTTGGGTTTTATTTAGGAAGTATGCGCTTTGGTTCAAGATAAAGGTCAAACTCTTTTGGGAAGACTAAAGCAATATCCCATTAAACCAGGGTTGAGTAAGCTACAGGCCACATAAGATCGTCCAACACCTTGAGATTGAATTTGGGAGGGTGTTATGGGAGAGAATGAAAGTGAAACTGGGGTTAAACCATTGCGTGGTTTTATTTCTTTGGGCACAGCATATTCCATAAACTCAGCAATGGTGCTTGATTAAATTAGGTATAGGGAGAGCTTGTACGAACTCAGTAACTCTCTCTTGTGACATAGGTTCTTTTAAGTTTCCCAGGACCCTTTCCCAAGGGAGGAATTACAAAAAGTAAGGGACAAGAAGAATTATGCAAAATTATCCATGATGTGTATAAAGTGGACAAGGGGAAGCTATTTTCCCCTTCCCAAAATGCTAGAATCAGAGGTCACCCAATGCAATTGACTCCTGGACGAATCAGGACAGACAAAAGGAAATTTTTTTTACACAACACATAATTAAACTTTGGAATTCACTACCATGAGATGTGGTGTTGGCTACCAGCTTGGCTGGCTTCAAAAAAAGGGTTGGTCCAATTCATGGAAATCATGGGGATCACTGGCCATTAGCCCCATCAGGCCCCAATTTACCCTGCAGTTCAAAATCAATTTAAAAATGGAGTAAATACGTCAGTCAGTGGGCATTGTTATCAGAGACAAGTTACAAGTAACTTTCTGGGACATGGAAAATAGTTGTTTCTCCTTAACTCAGCTTGAAAAAAACAAAGGTCATTAATCACCAGTGTCTGAGGTCACACAATCCACTATGTGTAAAATAGGTCTGGGGAGTTTGAGATACTGGAAGGAGAGAGAAGAAGAGGGTGACCAGCAGCAAGGTGGATGGACACAATTGCAGCAGCAATGGGGGCACTGTTGAAAGACTTGAAGAACCAGGTTGGGGACAGATCCTCCTGGAGAAGATCTATTTGTGTAACTGCTAGGAATCAACACCAACTTGATGGAACGTAATCCATCAAACAGTTTGAGATAGGGCACGTTAGGAGGAACCAGCCAAGGTTATGGCATGTTGTAGGTTCTAGGTCATCCTTTTAAGTCATAATATAGTTGTTTGTTTGGGTATGGCATGTTATTTCCTAACCCAGGTTCATTGTGTTGTGTCTTTCTCTGCATTCTGGTTTTTTTTCCACTTGCAGAGCCCTTGTATCAAACATATCGCCAGGCTGTCATCTCCAAGGAGATCAAGAGACAAACGGTTCCACACAACAGTAGTTTCAGCAGCTCGGACTACAGGGCCCCTTCTCTTGGTGAAGGGCCAACAGGACCCCAGGGCCCCATCCCTCATAGCACACTTTGGCAGGAGCTGCCTGCTGTGCGAGAAAGTGGCCTTTTGGAAAATATCAGCCCAGAAGAAAGGAAGATGCAAGAGGTGACTCTGATAAGACTTGGGGAGAGCGGGGCGTTTCCCACCACACAGAATGTGGAGTGTCTGGAAGGCTTTGAGAACAATCAAAACATGTAGAGTTTCAGTGAACAAGCTAAGGAGTTGTACATTGTGTTGACTTTTTTTCTCCAGATAATGAGATCATTCTGAATTTGGAGTCATATTTATTTGCAGTTTGGGACTGGGTGTTTTACACATGAATTACGTCCTGATCTATAGCAGCAGATTAATAATATTTTCCCAAACAACATGGCACTAGGGAGATTGAGTATCTAAAAGGTACAGATAAATTTTGTGCTGGAGTCCAACACACTCTGTTTCTGTGTGTATGTTGATAGATTCTGATTTTTTCCCCATAACGTGGCACACTTGTAATTTGTATTAGTGTTGGAAGAAAGTAAAATAAGGGCCACTCCCTAGCACAGATATGGCCTGGCAACCTCTTTTTCCTGCTGTGTCCTCATGATATGGGGTTCATCTTGTTTCCAACTCCTGCCTGGACAGTTTAGTCATCTTTAGCTGCTCCAGGATTAATACAGTGTTATCTCCTTTAAGCAGCCAACAAGCTGGTGCAATTTTCCCATGGGTAAAATCTGACTCACCCCACTATTGTATTCCAAGTAGATGACCCTCAGGGGATGGACTGTAAGCCTGGCTCTATCCATTCTTCAGGCTGGTGAAGACTCCTGTGAACTGTCCTTTAAAAAGGAGTCTTGCTCTTTACCCATCAGATTTCTGAGCTAATCCCCAAATCAGAGACCTGGATCTGTCTGAACAGTGGCTGACCATTGATGGTAGGGGAAATACAGTAGATGACTGGTGGGGCAACTCTTCCTTTGCCTGTTCGCTGTTGTTTAGGCTGCTTTTGATCACGGGTTTAGCATTCTTCTGGAATAGCACTAAACTTGTGTCCAAAAAGAGCTCAAGCTATTGGCTGGCAGACTTTGAATGCACCTCCAGGGTGCAGAACTAGAGTGAGATTTGATGGATGGCAACCCAAGACATCATAAAGTTGGGAAAGCTAGGGAACATGATGCTCGCCATCTTTATTCCATGCATGTGTTTTGGGTTCTTTCTGCTTTTGCCACTCATTCTGCCTTCTTTGTGGTTCTTGGTCTCTGTGGTCAGAGTCTTTTTGAGGTGGTGACCTCTGAAGCCTCCTACCTACGCTCACTCACCCTTCTGATTGAGCATTTCATGGAGTCTCGGGAACTAGCTGGCACCATCCTTCTGCGTGAGCACCGTATCCTCTTCTCCAACATACGCAAAGTCCAGGAAGTCAGCGAAAGGTCAGCTTTGCCTCTCTCCCCCTCTTTCCTCCAGTCTACATTGCCCAAGACCATTCTCAAGAATGAAAGCAGCCAATCTATGAAGCATAGAATTCCTAATTTGCTGATCGTCATGAAGGGCTGATCTCCGTGTTGAGAAGGAATCACACCTGCAGGGCTGTCCCATGTGATTCTTCTGATCATAGGGATCATCTGTGATTAACAGCAGGCTGGTCTATTATCCAACTGTATAATCATCTGTTTTATCACTCCCCCTCCCGCTCCAAGAAGGGGAAATAGATCCCTGCATGGAGAAACAAGCTTGCTATTTTTGTTTGTGTTTCTTTGATTGCCCCACATATATCTGATGCCATTTCTTCCTCTTGGCAGGTTCTTACGGGATCTGGAAAGGCGGTTGGCTGAAAGCCTGCAGATCTCAGATATTTGTGATATTGTGGAGGACCATGCTCAGCAGAGCTTCTTGGTCTACATTGATTATGTCCGTAACCAACTCTACCAAGAGAAGACTTATAGTAGCCTCATGTGAGTAAGAGAGGAGGAAAGGAAGACATTCTGTTGGGTCATCTTTGGGGAGTGTGAAGGACTCTAGACTGGAGGAATTATTTGGAGAAACTTTCTTGGGTATTTTTCCAGCATGTTTTGGCCTGGCTGAGAATTCTGGGAGTTGTAGTTCCCCCTCATTTGGCAGCTACCCAGTCTGATAACCATTTTGGATTCTGCTTCATCAGACACAAACTGAGCTGCTGGCCTCACCAAGTGCTGATACCGAAAGATTTTAGGCAAGCCTGTCTTTTCCAACAGCAGCCATCCAGGTACTCTTGAAAAGCTTACTGGTGGGAGATAGCGGCCATCCCTTGTAGACTCCGGGGCCTTGTATGTTCAGAGATAGATTACTTCTGAAGGTGGAAATCCTGTTCTAGACTGTCATGGATAATTGATGTGGGCCTACCTGTGCACTGTAAACTCCGTTAAGTGGTTCTGCTTAGTCCAAAATCTACTTCTCAGATGCTTCCAGGAAGCCCTCAAATTAAGCCGTTCTCTGGTATTCATTAATTCATTCACAGTCATAATATTGGCACATGTTCCTCTCCCTCTCTTCCATCCACCACCCACCCATTGATAGGGGTCAAGGCAGCGTATACGGAAATGGGAAACAACCTCTAGGGTTGGCTGTGACCCCAAACCTGCCAAATGAGGACTGAGCATGTGCGGTGGCCTGGAACCACTGCAGTGGAACAGCTGACCGTGAGCAGATGCCTTCCCCCAGCCCTGTTCAGTAGCAGTTCCGGGGTCTGGACTTCAGACACGTTTCTCTTGGGTGCAGCTTCCCTTTCTTTTCCCTCTTAGGGAGAAGAACCCCCAGTTTGCCATTGTTGTTACCCGGCTCCAGGAGCAGCCCCAGTGCCAGCGGCTCCCCTTCATGTCCTTCTTGCTGCTTCCTTTCCAGAGGATCACCCGCATCAAGATGCTCTTGGAGGTGAGGACTGAGTGTGTTCTTGGAGCCAGGAACTTGGGTCGCTATAAGGCCAGGGTAGGAGGTTTTTTGGGGGGGAGGGGGCTGCAGGTTGGGAAAGCAAGTTTGAAGCCATGGTGATACGTACCTTGGTCTTGTTTCATGCTGGCTGGGGAATTCTGGGAGTTGAAGTCCATGCATCTTAAAGTTCCCAAGGTTGAGAAACCTTGGTTTCACATATCCTCCATCTAAGGGGCAGAGATCAGGTTTGAACAGAGCAACAGTGCTGCCTCTCCCTCTGTGTGCAAACCAGGATCCAGCAGCTGGGAACCTGAATGGGGGAAAACAATCCAATTATGTTCATTATGTTTTCAATTTCCCTGGGAGCTGATTTCAATGCCTCGACTGCAGAGTCCTTCCTGTGCAGAGAAGCCCATTCATATCCTTTTCCTCTTGGCTCTCATGTGAATGAGGTGTGCTTTTGCAGCATCCGCTGCTCAGCACAGGTTCCTGAGCAAGACAGAAACCCAGTTGGAGAAGGGTTTTTAGGTCGTGCGAATGGGATGCTCAGGGATATCTGAACCAGAGGTGTGCACAAGGATTCACATTTGATTCCACCCCTATTTTTTAAGTCCAAAACAGGTTGTTCCAATTCTTCCAGTAATGGTTCAGGGCCAACCTGTCCATTCTGGATATGTTCGAACCTCAACACATTCCTATCTTGAGTTTGGAAAGTTTTCAATGACTGGGACAACCAGGGTTTCTGGTTTATGATCAGGGCATTTCCAGCTCACTGTTTGGAATTCAGGGTCTTTGCTTACTTCTAATCTGAAGTCCCTTCCTCTGGTTTTATTCTGTATGTCTCTAGAATATCCTGCGCCGGACGGATGAAGGTTCTTTGCGAGAACAGAATGCTATGAAGGCTCTGGCCTCTGTTTCCAAGGTGAAATGAATAGCCATTCACAGAGGCATCAGGGACTAACTTGGGCCGTTTCTGTAACTAGCCCAATGTGTTGTGTGACAGCCTTCCCCAACTTGGTGCCCTCTTAATATCTTCACGGTCAACTCCCATCAATGCTAGACTGGGTAGACAAAGGCAAAGCATTATGGGAGCTGAAGTCCAAAAAATTGGAGTTCCCTTTTTTGTATGCTGGCCTTTCCTTTTAAAATGGTCTCTCTGAAGTTGGCATGGATGTGTCCAGAGGTTATTAAGAATCTAGCTTAATAGATTCTTAATAACCTCTGGACACATCCATGCCATTTAAAAAAAGAATTGGAAAGTCTACCCAAGATGCTTACCATTGCCTTCTTCCAGTACGTTCTTTTTTTTTTTTTCTTTAACTATCTAATCTAGCTTATAGCCCTCGTGGTCTCCTATTTAAGGGCTAACCAAGCCTGACCCTGCTTAGCTTTTCTGAGATCAACCAGAGTTGGTTAGCTAATGTCATCTGTAAGGACATTCCCTTCTTGATATCACTCTGTCCAATACAGACTGAAGCACTGAGTGTCAGAGAGTTCTTCTTTTGGGTAAATAAAGTATTAATTTAAAATGTTTGTTGGGGGGAGGGTAATTTTCCTGCCCCTTCCCATGTTTCACGGCCTTGAAATGCTACGTTTCTTAGTAGTGGGAGAAGGATGAATGGAAAAAACACATCTCGCTTGGCACATTACATGTTTTGGGGCATGTTTTTACTTTGACTTACGTTTACTTGAAGCTCGTTTCTGTAGTTTTTCTTGTGACCAGTCAGTAACTTTAGGATGCCACAGGGAAACTGACTCGTGCTTTCCTTCTCCCCCACTTCTCCAAATCTCTGCTTTAGATCATAGAAGAATGTAACTCCGAGGTCGGCCGGATGCGTCACATGGAGGAGCTGATCCATACAGCCAGCAAAATTGAGTTTGACAAGCTTAAGGTCAGAATAAGTTCGGCTCCGGACCTCCTTTGGGCTTGCTCCAGCCTGCCACAGCTTGTCCCCGTGGGCCTCCAACTGTGCTCACATGAATTGGGAGATTTAAGAGAAGATACATCTGCCTTCAGTTGTGCCTTTGGTTCCTGCCGTGGGTCCTCGGGAGACAAAATTCCAGGGGTACCAGAACACTAGGCTTGGCACACGCCTAGAGACTGCCATTTTGGCAGGCTCACTATTGAAGAAAAGATTGCCTGCCCTGGCATACCCTGATTTGTGAATTTGCACAGAGAATCTGTGTTCTCCTTGCAAAAATCCAGATGGCCTCAGGGAACCACTCCTAACGCCTCTTTCCTTTCTCCCGCTTCAGGCCGTTCCCATCATTTCCCAGAGCCGGCAGCTGCTGAAACAGGGAGAGCTGCTGGAAGTCGTGCATCGTGGCACGATCTTTGGCACCAAGCCCAAACTGGTCCCCATCTACCTGTTCCTCTTCAGTGACCTGCTGCTCATTACCCAGCGCAAGAGGTGAGCCAAAAAGGCCTGGGCTGAAAACTCTGGCCACAGGAGTCTGCCCGTGTCTGCATTGGAAGGGGTGTCGTGCATACGGAAGAGGCGGGAGGGGAGGCCAGAAATGGACTTGTCCCACCAGGGTCATTTCTGGGGATGGTGAATTGGACAGGCAGTGAGGTTTGGGCGATGGTTCTGTTTCTGCAAGTTTTGAGAATGGAGCATTGCCTATTTCTAAGCCTCCCACTTCATTCTTAAGGCCTAGAAACTTGCCATTTTTTAAAAAAACGGAGATGGTCCAGAAAGACCTAAGATTTCTGTGCAAATGTTGTGCCCTTGCCTGGTGAAATGATCAGACTGCCCCCGTTCCTCTCTGTGCTCCTAGATGAGAACGGTAGTGATCTGGACCAGGCTTCTCTGGTTGAGGAGCTTCCAGATCTGTTGCTCTGCAGGTCCTAGAATCTCAGCCGGGTGGCTGACCTTGATCACATTTGCAGGCCCACTGATCTGGGAGGCAGCCAGCGGGGAAGCAGCTGCTGTCAGCCACACATCTTCAAAAGAAATTGAGTAGGGATTCATTGATGGGTTTTCTTTGCTTCTGCTCCGGACGCTGCCCTGCCTTTTTCTGCAGCTCAGAACGCTTTGTGGTGCTGGATTACGCCCATCGCTCGCTGGTCCAGGTCCAGGGCTGTGAGGAGACCTCCACCAGCCAGAATGGAGAGAACAGCTTCTACCTGACATTGATGGAGAACCACCAAGGGCGAAGTAGCGAACGCCTCTGCCGCGCCCCGACGCAGTGAGTAACCACCGAGGGAAGGGAGGTGAAGAGAGCTGGGAGAAATGGTAGTAACTATGCCCTGTTTATAAACGGTGGGGAGAGTTGATCAGAGCAGCCTTTCAGAGGGCTAGAACGTGAGATCTAGGAGAAGTGTGCATTGCAATCATGGTGTAGAACAGTCCCACAGCAAGTGATCTTGGCTGATTGCCATCCCAAAGACTTTCCCTCCCGTAAGAGAGAGAGAAACGTTGGGTGATCAGTTTGAGCCCATTACTTGGAAACCCCCAGAAGAACGTTCTCAGTGGATTGCAGAAATGAAAGAATAACGTGGGGAAAAATTGGCAGATGGCAACATCTAGCTAATGTTGGCTAATCTTGAAAAAAAGGCCCTGGCTGGGAACTGGTTACTGCTTAAATGGGAGAACACCAGGAATCTCAGGGCTGTCAACTAGACTAGGAAGTTCAAGGCAGCGCCAAACCATATTGTTACTTGGAAAAAGGCATTGTCAGGAGTCACGTTCAACCCAGGGAAGTCTTTACCTTACAGAGCTGTTCAGCAAGTACAATGAAGAAAGATTTTCATCAGCCAAATAAAGAAAAGGGTGTCAGAAGGCAAGGTGTGCCTTTGATAGGGAGGCTCTTCAAGCTGCTGGATGTCTTCTGGCCAAACGCACAAGCCCCAATCCTGCCAGCCTATGAATGGATGAAACCCAAACAGTGCATCCTCAAAGCTTTGTCTTCTAGGTCTGATATGCACCGCTGGATGGGCGCTTTCCCGTGCCATGAGTCCCAGCCTAATAACAAGCAGGAAACCATCTATGAGGACTGGGGTGAGACCTTTTGGACATGTTCCTTTTAACCCCCGTTCCTGCTGCTCCTTGCTCCAAGGCCAGGAAAATCAGAGAGCATCACGTTCCTGTTCCATGGTTTCTGGACCTGTCAGCGGTTTGCCCGCTTTGTGGTGGGAAGGCTAAAGTAGCCAAGATGGAAATGCACAACTGCATTTCTTGTATCTTGAGCTTCAAAACAAATTTCACCACTGGCTTTCAGGCCAAATTCCATGTTCTGTGATGGGGTTGATTTTTCCTCTCCCAATGTGCAGTTTATCTAAAGGAAAATACCCCCTTCTTGGAATATCCTTTCCCCCCCCTTATTTCTGGTGCTTTAATATAAAAGCTGTTTTTATATTTAAAAAATCAATATGGGAAGTTCAGATTCTCTTGCCCTCTCCCCTCCCCGTTTTGTTTGGCTTTAGGCAGCTTGAGGTCTACTAGATGTTTTAGAGAAGCTGACTGCAACTAGCAAACTTTGGCTGATGTCAGAAAGCCAAGAGGGATGCATGGGGATTGGATCTAAGCAGGACGTGGATGGGAAACCACCAGGAGATTCCAAAGCTGTAGGCTAGGCTGGGAAGTCAAGGAAGTCCCAGAAGAATGTTGTAGCCGACCACGTCACCACAGCTCCCAAAATATTGGCATGGATAGACCATGTTGAGTCAATTCAAGGAAGTTTTTACCTTGCTCCAGGTGACCTTGGCTGATCTCAAAAAGCTAAGCAGAGTTGGACCTGATTAGTACTTGGATGTGAGGCCACTAGGAGATCCCAAGGCTTTAGGCTAGATTGAGATGTAGCAAAGCAAAGTGCTTGGCATCTTGGAAGTTGGACACTATATGTATAAGTCAACGGCCAGTGGCAAGGGGTTATGGGAATTGTAGGCTGGGGACATCTGGAGGGTGTCAGAGCCTTCCATTAAAACTTTAAACCCTTTAAAAAATGGTGAGTTTGGGATTATTTTTTTTTTGAGCCACAATTCCTTTGCACCATTTGTTCTCAGGGTTAATTTTCTGATTCTTCCTTCAGCGATTAAAATGCACGTCAAATATTCTAGGCTGGATAGACCAAACCAGTTGAGCTGATTTTTATGCTGCATATAATGCAGAAAACAGGGAAGCCATTTCGCCTCCTCTCCCTCTGTCTCTTCTCAGTGGTTAGGGTGTCGGACTAGGAGCAAAGAGACCTGGGTTCAAGTCCACCCACTGCCATGGAAGCTCCTGGGTGACTTTGAGCCAGTCTTTTTCTCTCTCTCTCTCTCTCTGACCCCAAGCAGGTGGTGTGGTGGGGAAAATTGGAGGAGGGGGTGCTATGCAAGCTGCCTGGGCTGTTGGAGAAAAGGTGGGGAATAAATTTAATGAATAAATAATGTGCCAGGGAACTGTTATTCCCCCCCCCCACACACACACACACACTTGATGCCTTTCTTTTTGCTTCTTTCCCTCTTTTTATTATTATTATTTATTTGATAAATCATTTATTGAGTCACTGTTTTTTTCTCCTGCCTCTCTGCAGATTGTCCCCAGGTTCAGTGCACAGAGACCTATAGGGCAGCCCAGGCGGATGAGCTGAGCCTCGAGCCCACAGATATCATCAACGTTCTGCGGAAGGCCGAGGGTAAGCCTCCAGCGTGGCGCTCCCCAGCCTTCGTGACCAACGTTCAAAGTTTCTTTCTCCTGGTTTCTCTGAACGACTTAGAAATTGGAGCCCAGGCTGCGGTGCTTCGTCACCCAGAGATGGTGTTTTGAGCAGAATTCCCTCTTATTCAAGTCTCTCCAGACAGCACCTCCCCAAATTCTCAGCCAGATGGGAGCTAGTCCCCAACACAGAGAAGGTGTGGTTGAAGAAAACTGCCCTTCGCCCTTTAAAACATTGGCTGTGTATAATACTATTGTGATCCAGCAGTACGTGAATGGGAGACCACCAGGTGATCCCAGGGGTATAGGCTAGGCTCTAAACATCTGAGAAAAAACAATAGCAAACCACTTCTGAAAACTGCAGGGATGTGTCCATATTGTCCCCAGGAGCCAAACTCAAATTTATCTTGCATATCTGGGTAATATTGGGTAGTAATCGGTTTAGAGTCTTTTAGCCACAGGGGTGACCTCCCTCAGATGCAAGCTGTACAGCATCCTCCTATTTTCTTTATAGATTATATTAAACCTTATCCTTCCTTTCATAGCAAAAGAAACAGGAGTCTGGTAGCACCTTTTCTGACTCACAGTTTTTTTTTAAAAGGCAGAAGCTCTCGCAAGCTGCATTGAGGATCTTCTGCCTTTCTCGTGAGCTGTCCCAAAAGCTTCTGCCTTTTAATAAAATCTGTGAGTCAGAAAAGGTGCTACCAGACTCCTGTTCTTTTGCCTCCCTAGACCAGTGTTTCTCAACCTTGTCAGCTTTAAGATGTGTGGACTTCAACTCCCAGAATTCCCCAGCCAGCAGTTGAAGTCCACACATCTTAAAGCTGACAAGGTTGAGAAACACTGCCGTAGACTAACATGGTCCTCCTACAATGCCTTTCTTGCATGGTATTTCTACTACCCCTTTTTTATTCCCACCGCTGTCTCAGATAGCAACTTAGACTCCGAGAACAGCGCACACACCTAGCCAAGATCACATCTTTTGCTTTCATCATGATTTGAACCCAGATCCTGGAGTCTAGCTGTGTGCTTAGGCCACCAGGAAGCCCATGTAGGGGAGGAACGGGCTGGCAGAGGAGCATCAGAGCTCTCCAACTTCATTTCCACGCTGGCAATAAAAGGGGACCGTTGTCCTTTTTCGGCTTGGTTCAGAGATTTCTTTCCTTCCCTGGTAACGTGCGTGTTTGAATGTTGCCTGTGGAAGACAACTTCCCGGGAAATAATGTAAGGAAGCTTGCCATGCTAGTGATTTTTAACGAGCCTTATTTTTTTAGTAAGGCTTTCTTTTTCATCTAACGCTCTAACCCAGCCTTTGCTTCCTGAAATTATGGACTTCGAAACCCATCATCCCAAGCCAGCTGCTTGGCCGGTCTCAAGAACCATCACCTGGGCTTGAAGGAGTGTTGGAGCAATGGTGCAGGGCCCAAAACTGTTGTCTCCCACTTCCCTGTCTAATAATTGCTATTAGCCTTGATAAGAAAGTCAGACAAACCCTAGTGGAAGAAGCAACATAGGCCAGCCTTTTTTTTCTCCCTGTGGCCAACTGGGTGCATTTGATGCTGGTAAGCAGAAGGAACTGCATCCTTCTGCCATTGTTCCCGTACAACTGGGAACAGCGATCTGCCTGGCTGATGGCTCTTCTGGAAAGAGTTTGCAACAGAGAAGGAAGAAGGATCTGTCCCCAGTTCCTCTGCAGCTCCCCTCCGCGTTCATAGTCTTCTCGCACACCACGTCCCTTGTTCCTTAATTCTGTGTGGGAAGGATTGCTGATATGGCTGTTGTCCCTATTAGACACAGAGTCTGTAAATCACCTCCAGGTTCAGAGGCAAAAGCTGTGGAGGGAAGACAAGGAATCAATTGCTTCTCGGAGGCACCTCGCTTAGCATTCTTCTTCTGACCTGGCATGGTAGTTTTTATACGCTCGCGTGACAACTGCAGCCGCCTTGCTGTTTTTGAGATGTTCAGGATTCTAGATCTGGCCTCGGGAAGCACGCTTGAATTATCCTTCAAACCTGTCTTTATTCAAACTTCCTGGCCAGCTTAGCAGCGTTTGCTCTGCTCCTTTTTATCACAACCAGATTTTATCCAGCAGGCACGTTTTGCTTGGCTGGGTAACGAATAGTGCTCTGTGGTTAAGAATCTGACTGGAGGTCAGGACGGGCCTGATCCAGCAGGAATGCGCTTGTTGGAGCTTCGCAAAGCGACAGGACGGTCCCCGAGAAGTTTTGAGGTGAAGAAAGAAGGGTGCAGAGGTGCTGATAATTTTCCTTTTTTTCTCCTCTCCTCTCCTCTCCCCCCCCATGCTGCAGGCTGGTATGAGGGCATACGCCTCGCCGACGGGAAGAAGGGCTGGTTCCCCTCATGCTACGTGCAGGAGATCACAAACGAACATGTCCGCCGTCGCAACCTCCGCGAGCGTTACCGCGTCCTCCAGGCTGCCCGCCAGCTGCAGCTGACGCGCACGGGTTACTTCAAAAGCAAGTACAGTTCAGCCTGAGACTGAAGCCGTACAAGCAACGGAGCGAGGGACAGGGGACCCCGGCCTGCGATTATCTCACGGCTGGACTCAAGGTCGGCTTCCATTTTGCTGGGCGTGGAGCAGCATTGCCTCAAGAGGGTGTTGAAGATGGTGAGGACGGTAGAGAGCGGTTGGGTTTTGGATGGAAGGCCCCTGGAGGGTGAGACTGATGCAAGCATGCAGGGTTGATTGTCCGGAATTCGTGGCCGCTGCAGTGCCGTTCGCCAGCCAGTGGAGGCAGCAAAGACACGACTTCAAGCATGTCCCTTCTGCCAGAGGGGGCGATAGACTGCATTCTCAGTTCCAGGGCTCAGTTTACAGACTTAGCAACGTCTAGTTCTTATTCCCCAAACTGAGTCCTAACTCCTCTGAGCCTGCTGGGCATCGCAGTATCCCCGAGGGAGGACCACATACCTTCTCAGAGGGTTGGGATGAAGAAGGGACACCACCTTCTGCCTTAGGGAGGACGGATCATCCTAGTAGCGGCACAGTGTTTCAGAAGGTTCCCCGTACCAAGACATGATCGCACGAATTGCCTCATGGTTTACTGGAGGTGTCAGCTAAACTTGAACAGGTGTTCCACCCGCCCTTATTTCGCAGGGACTATCCACCGGTTAAAATAGGTGTAGCCTTCAGGCCCACCTCCAGTAACCTTGTTTGGGGCTGGATGCAGGCTGGCTTTTTCTTCACCCACGTGACTGATGGGTGCGCCTTGCCCTTCGCTAGCGGGTAATCTGGTAGGCAGCGCTACGAGAACACGCTTCTGCCCCAATAAAATGCCTTTTGCAAACGGGGTCCACACTGTGAGCATTACCGGTTTCCTAATCCTGATCTGGGTGCTGCCACTGCCGATATTTCAGACCTTCCCAGGGGTCCTTAAGCTGGGCGCGGGTCAGGCCCTTCTCTACCTCAGCTCCTCTCCTCTCTGCTGCTGGGAATCCAGGACTCCTCTTGTAGCCTGTGGACCCAGCTTATTGTCCCCACACCCCTCCATGGTAGCTCACAGTGCAACAGACTTTTCTCCCTGAGGCTAATCTGCCTGGGTATCCTGGATTTTCTCCTGTTTGGTTTTGCAAACAAGGAATTTCTTCTGGAAACCTCACCATGGATTGGCTTGTATTTATTAACGTGTTGCTCTCTTTAGCTCTTGTGCTGGAGGAGGTTCTGCTTCCACCATTCTTCTCGGGGAGCAGCGGAAAGGACTGTATTTAATTTATTCCGTGCCACCCATGTTTGCTTGGATTGTGACCTCTCTTGTGTTTTTCTATCCAAATGGCCTTTTTAAAAAACACCAATGAACAAAACGTGCCGGTGCTTGTTTTCAGCCTGTGCTCGGGCTCATAAAACGGCAGTGGCAGAGCCTCGCTGTCTACTCCTCCCTGTTAAGAGACAAAGAGCTCTTAGTGACAGGGCTGGAATTTGCCCAAAAGGGCTAAGCCCAAAAACCAGAATAGTTCCCTTTGAACAACCCATGAAGCCAGAAGGGAACAAATCACTGGTTGGTTTAATGTGTTGTATGAACTAGTCCTTTTACCTTATATGGGGTCTTCCAGCTTCAGAACTCAGCTGGAGCACACAAGCATGACATATGGGAAGTCCTAGCATTACAGCCCAGGATTACATTTCAGTTCTGCAGTTGGAGATGAGAACAGAGGCCTCTGTGTAAAATTCACTTCTCTGGGCTGAGATCGGCCCTGTTGGCTGGTGCTGAAAGGAGTATTATTCGGCTGTCCTGGTGGGGAAGGCTGTGAACGGATGGTTCAGTTGCTCCGGAGGCAGAGACAGAAGTGGCTTAGCTGCTTCCAGAAGCAAGCACCAATTATGGGTCTCTTGAATGGCTGGGTTAGTTTTCTTCCCATTAGGAAAGCATGTCAGGTTGGAGAATTTCCCACCAGTTAGAATTACTGGCTGAGAAGATCCTGGAAGGCAAGCTGATTCCTTGGTTTAGGTCACGCATGGTAGCCTCGTATCACTACAAACTTCTAGAAGCAATGGGTTAAAGTGGTAGGTCCAGGCTGGGTGTCAGGAGGGACAAATTAGTATGAACTGTCAGCCGGTGGAACAGACGGCCACTTGAAATAGCAAGGTTTTCACTGGAGATCTTCAGAGACTTGGAGGGCCATCTGCTAGAGATGTTCCAATGGATTCTCCTACTGAGCAGGAACTGACCCATAAAGTCTCTTCCAGTGCTATGATCTTGCCTGACCTAAAGAGCATGCTCATAGCTCTGGTTGTAAAACTTCATTTCTCCCCTCAAGTAAGGATGAGCACACCTGCCTCTTTTAAAATGGAGCTTTATTTAGTGTGCTGTCAAACAGGAAATAATTTAAAGCATGCTTCGTACACAACACAGCTAGCACACTTCCACCCCTCCGTCTGCACAGACCAATAGCCGACGGCTCACAGTATTGTGGGAGGCTGCAGAAGGCTGTGAGCTCCCACAGAGAGCCTCGTGGCTCAAGGAATGGAAAGAAGCCATCTCAGAAGAGAGATCCCCAGCTACTGAAAAGATCCAAGCCACCCTTTATGTAGCATGACAGAAAGATTTTTAGCCCTGGGGTTCTACCCAGCACTGGAAAATAAGATGTGAGTGGTGTCTCTACTCCCGTTACAGTACTTAACATTCTTAAGAATTTGAAAATGCATTGAGAGCTTGGGGGGGTGGGATTTGTAACTGCAGTTAGTCTTCCATGTCCTCCTCCCTCCCTCTTGCCAGTCCCATTTGCTTCAAGGGGCAAGCTGTAGAGAAGCTCCTTCCAGCACCAGGAGTGAAGGAAGAGCAAAGACACCAGTTATACCTCTCATTTGTCCTCTTCCTTCATTGCCCCCTTTGACTTTCCGGTGTGTGTTTGTAAACAAAGAAGGAGACCACAAGGCCTCCCAGGAGAGAACTTCCATCCTCTTCCTGCTCTTCTCGTGCGCGAGCGTGGGGGTGAAGCACCCTTATTGTTTCACAAACACCCAGATCTTGGGCCCTGCACTGCCAAAATTGGTTTTGGAAAGAACCTGGCTCACAGGCAGACTGTAGCCCAAGGAGGGGTTTGGAAGAAAATCAGGAGCAGAAGAGATGGAACTTGGGGAGGGCTGGGAACAAATCAGGTTTGTTTCCATCCTGTGGAGAAACTTAGCTCAACAATTCTGATCATCTTTAACGTGGTGAGGATTCTTTGGAGGCTGAGCCACAGGGAACGGGGACAGGCCTTGGAGCACATCCTGGTCAAGTGACAACCGGCCAAAGAGAAGAATAGAATTGCCGCTGCGTTTCTCCAATCTTGGGGCAAAGGGAGATGATGGAAGGAAGTGACAGTGGCTCCTGATGCTAGTGGTGACCAAAGATTAAAGGCTGAGCAATAGTGGAGTCCATTTGGCTTGGAAACCAGTCACCCCTTTCTCTGCTTTTGAAGGCACTTAGTGGCAACGAAGCTGAAGAGAGGGTCCCCCCTCCGCTTTCTGCACCTCTCCTGTGCACTGGCCGCCATGGTGCCCTCGATGATCCGGGGCTGGAGGGGGGGAGCCAGGGGTCCCAGCGTTAGGGGTCCACAAAGGAAACCATGATGTAGCGTGTGCCCTGAGTTGTAGGTAAGCCTTCATGATAGTGGGTGAGACGTCCTGGGTGGAGCAGGCTCCAGCCCTTGCGGGGAGATTCCACTTTGCAATTGTAGCGGATAAATCGGCAGCCGCCTCCCTATTGAGGGACAGAGCAAAAAGAACCATTCTAGACAGACAAGAGACCAGGCTTAAATTATCATATTTTGGACATATTATGCCAAGACTTGGCTCTCTTGAGAAGCCTATAATGCTAGAAAAATGGAAGGATAACCAGCAAGGTGGATGGATACAACGGCAGTGGGTGCACCATTGGAAGACCTGAAGGACCAGGATGGAGTCAGATCATCCTGGAGAAGGTCTGTCTATGTAGCTGTTAAGAGTCAACACTGACTGGAGGTCCATCCATCCATCCATCCATCCATCCATCCATCCATCCGGGAAACATAGGCTTGGTTTGCACAATGCAGCAAGGTTCAAATCATTTTACCCCAAGAATTGTTGAAACCCTAGAACTTATCCCCACCCCTTTTGTACCCCAAAAGCATCCGAGACCAAGCCTTGCATGGGGAGCCCCAACACTTCACACAGGTCACCTGCTCTCCGAGGGGCACTCACCTCATAATCTATCCCTTTATGGTTAAGAGCAACGTTGATGGTGAAAGTGGAGGAATCATGATGGGGGCGAAGCGAAGGCTGCTCGTCTGGACGGTATCGGACCATGAAGTTCATGATTGCACGAGCCTGAGAACAGGAGACTTGAGTTAGCACCTTCTGGGTGAAAGCAAGATAGAGAATGGCATCCTGCATACACCTGCACATGCCCAAAATGGAGCAGTCATGTTCACTCCAGGTACAACATATCCAATCCACATTCTTACTACTGACAGATCTCAAAGAATTGCTTGGTGGACAGCAAAGAGTCAGTAGATGACAGCACTAGGCTGACCTTGAAAAAGCTAAGTAGGGTTAGATCTGGTCAGCCCTTGAGAAGGAGACAACCAAGGCTGTAAGCGGGACCAGGCAGTCAAAAAAGCATTCCAAAAGAAGCCAATGACAAATCATTGTCATACTCTTGATATGAAAACTTGAATGTTACCATGTTATCTCCAGGAATTGAATGTATTCATTTATTTCATTCATTTTTCCACATCAAAGTATTCAAGCAGATAATTCTTTGCCATAGTTCCCTTGGGTAATGAAGTATATTCAGTCTTGCCATATTAAAACAAGGAATATAATTTAGGGGTATTGGCATTATATTGGCATGCTGGCTGGGGAATTTTGGGAGTTGAAGTCCACATATCTTAACATTGCCAAGGTTGAGAAACACGGATTTAGACTGACCTATTGCAACGTACAACATTTGAAGGGCTACTTTCTCTGCTGTCACTATATACTAAAGCTTTTATGTTATTCATCTAAGGTTAACATTCCATCCTTTCCTTTTTGGGTGGCCACCATTCTAGCTGCTATCAACAAGCAAATCATCACCCCTTTAGATTTTATTTTCCTAACATCTTCAGTGAATATTCCCAACAAAGCTGTGGGTCAATTTCTGCTGCATCGCTGCAGGCATAGCTGATAACTTTGGGGGAGGGAGAATTAAGGACCACACTCTCAAACTGGCCATGGCTATGTTTTGCATGGGGTGGGGGGACTGAGAGCTTTAACAGATTATACCTACAAACTTCCCCCCAAAGAGTGGCAGGGAAGCAACAGTTCTGGCCCAAATTACTTTAGGGATTGTGAAAGGGATCCCATAGAGCTCTACTTTTTGTACCTTTGCTCTGCGCCCAGTAACCTTTCCCATTCCCTCAGGAGTATCAGGCAAGTTGCTGGTACCTTGGTGTGGTAGCCAGGATAGAACTTCTCTGTGACCGGTGCAATGTAGTCCCGCAAGAACTGCAGCCACTCCTTCTCAAAGCCAATTTGGTTCATGTGAATATCAACAGTGGGAACGTTCTCGTAGCCGCCAACCAGCCGACTGTCCTAGAGGGGATGTGCAGAATGGCAGGAATTGTAATGGGCTGCGAGAATAGCCTTGAGAGACAAGGAAGAGCCATCAGGTGTGAAGGGTGGGGAATCAGTTGGGTTCCTCTGTTGTACTAAACTAGGTTTGTTTTAAGCACAGTTTACTAAATAAGCCACAGTTTGTGGGCTTCCCAAACAGTGCTCAGCCATAAACCAAATGTGGGTGACTTTCTGGTGGTTGGGGCTGTACTTGAGTGTAGCAGAGCCTAGAATTTGCAGGAGAGAGAGCTGTTTTTAGTTTGGGGGGGAAAAATTGGGGGATGGAAGTCTTCGTTATTAAAGATTAGAAAATCCACTTGAGGGTTTGGCACTACAGTTTGGAGGCAGGCACCGTCCACCCCAATGCGCAACAAACAAGAATGTACATTGTTTTGAATCCAAAACTTCAAAGATGCTTTGAAGTGGTGGGGAAGTGTGTGCTGCGCCTGTCGGCACCTCCTTAAAGAAGCTATGTCTTGTCTTACTACTGCCCCCAACCCACCGGTAACATTAAATTTTGAAGATCAATAGCCATCAATTGCCAACAATCCATTGAGTTCCCTTTTAAAGTCATCCAAGTTAACTACTATCCTCCTGTCTTGTAAGCAAGGAATTCCATGTGCCGTGTGAAGGAGTCTGTCCTGTCTTCTGAATCTCCTTCCAATCACCATACTGGGGGGAAGGGGAGCTTGGGGGCACCCCAAACCTAGTGTTCCTCCCTCCCTATACCAGTTTCCATTTTATACACCTTGACAGGGACATCCATAGAGTAAGAACGGCCAAAAAAGATGGTAGCCATGACTGTATGAATGAAGCACCACTTTTTTTTTTTTTAACCTGCAATACACATAAAAGAGGAGTAGCCACCATCTTGACTTCTTTTGACCACTCTGTGGATTGCCTGCACCTCAATCGTGCCTTTTTTCAACATTCAGAGCCCTAAATCTTTTCTTGTATGGTGTTTGAGGTTCCTCATCATTCTGCATGCCCTCTTTGGCCCTCTTCCCAACTCTACTAAACTTTTTTCCAAATGAAGCAACCAGGATGATAATTTCAGTGGAGAGAAAGGTTAGGATGGTCCCACCTCATGCCTTCCTCCAGACCACTGGCCGTAGCCTTCCACCTCTTCCACCAACTCGTCACACATCTGGTCAGTGAACACCGGAAACCAGTAAACATCAGGGCAAGGCTGCCAATGGGGAGAAGGAAGAGTGAGCAAAGGAAGTCTGAGAGAGCGAGACTAGCAACTTGACAGGACTGGGGAAGAGAGAGACAGTCACCTGTTCGAAAAATTCTCCCTCAAGCACTTGTGAGTAGTTCTCGTGGATATATTTGTCCTGCCAGTCCTGTCCAAAGGAAGAAACAAAATAAGGGTAGATGCCCAAAGGGTATTCTAGTCTAACGCGTGTCAGGCAACCCAGTCCTTGAGCAAAAATTTGATTTCTGTAGAACATGCCATCGTATCTCTGCCTTCCCCAAACAGGGGCCTTTCAGATATGCTGGAACTACAGTTCCCAGAATTCTCAGAAGGCCTTGGACATTGTGGGAAGCTTAAGAGGCAGCTATCTGGGGAGTTCATCTTACTTTCTCATAATGCCCTGGAAATTGCGGTGGAAGTTCCATCACCACACAGCATCTTCTCCCTGCTCCAGTGAAGTCCTCCCAGATCTGGGGGCAGGGGTGTATGTGTTGGGCTGGGAGAAAAGGATCCCATCCTGTGCAACTTGGAATTACTGTGACCACTCACCAAGGGATTCTCAGAGATCTGCCAGAGCTCAGGATGGAGACGGGAGATGTTGTATCTAGTGGTGGAAAGGAGACGTCCAAAATCATCCCGATTACTAATATGGAGAAAAATGCCCTGAAAGGATAGATGTGCCCAAATTTAGGTAGGGATGAGGTAGAAATTTGCACAGTTCTGTGCTCCCAAGTGTCCACATGCCAGGAGATATCAGAAATGTTGATCTATCTATCTATCTATCTATCTATCTATCTATCTATCTATCTATCTATCTATCTATCTATCTAGCATGCATGCATGCATGCATGCATGCATGCATGCATGTTTCAGATGTGGCCTGTGCTTGTTCTGTTATGGCACAGAATTTTAGAGCAAGATTCTAAAGCAGTGTTTCTCAACCTTGACAACTTTAAGTAGTGTGGACTTCAACTCCCAGAATTCCCCAGCCAGCATGCTGGGAGTTGAAGTCCAGCAAAGTTGCCATACTCTATATTTTGATCTGAAGGAACTTTCTAGTCCTTATGTCTAGATGTATGTCTAGGCAATATGTCAAAAAAGTACCTGGGGAAGGGAGGGATAAATTGCTTATAAAACTGCCTGAACTAAAGGTAGTCCTCACTTAACAATGGTAAATAGGACTGGAATTTCCATCGGTAAGCTTAGCGATGGCGATTCTGGCAGTCCCCACTGCCGTCATTAAGTGAGGATCTCCTTGCAGCTTCCTGCTGGCTTCCAACAAGCAATGTCAAAGGGGAAGCCAGCAGGAAGTCACAGGTCACAGGCAGTACGCAAGCAGGCCAGTGGGTAGGTAAGTGGTTGCTGTGACATGGTGTGAGCACGACGGGGCCAGGGGGGCTGCTGCCAGGTGTGGGAAGGTGGTGCTGCGAGCATGCACTATGGAGTACTCTGTAGCCAGGGTCCTCGGGACAAAAAGCCATAGGAGTGCAAGTGACTTACAGGAGCAACCTGTGACCTTCCTTGCCAGCTTTCCCATTGATTTTGCTTGTGGAAACTGGCAGGGAAGGTCGCAAATGGTGACTATGTGACCGCGGGATGCTGCAACCATCATTAAGTGTGAGCTGGTTGCCAGGTGCCCAGACTGTGGGGGCGCTGAGACAGCCAGAACTTCAAGGACAGTCGTAAGTACCACTCATTCAGCGCCCTTGTAACTTCAAACGGTCGCTGAACAAGTGGTTGTTAAGCGAGGACTATTTATAATCATTTATATTATCAAGGTAAAATTCAAAACACAACTTTTTAAATATTCTGTTCACCTAGTTCACTTTTTGGACGAACGGCCTGTAAGAAAGCAAAAACTCTCACCTTCTCCCGCACGCTCTTACAAAAGGCCATATCTGGATCCGTGTCATCCAAGGTGAAAATATTGCGTTTGGGCAAATCCTGCCTTAACGTCTCCCCTTTCAACAGATAGGCCTGAGAGATATAGGGCACGTTCCACACCCCACTGCAATAGGGAAAAGCAACATGAGACTCCTCAGTATCAGAAACAAGGCAGAAGATAGAGAGATGAGAAGGTTTAAATAAAAAGGAAAAGCTTTTTTGGATTATGCCCAAGGATTATTCAGTCCAACATTCCAGTTGCAACGAAGTTTCTTAGAAGGCCCCAGAGCAGTGTTTCTCAACCTTGGCCGTTTTAAGATGTGTGGACTTCAACTCCCAGAATTGGGAGGCTGGCTGGGGAATTCTGGGAGTTGAAGTCCACACATCTTAAAATGGCCAAGGTTGAGAAACACTGCCCTGGAGACAGATTAAGGATGAAAGCTATCTCCTTCTGTGGCTTCCCAAGAACTGGGATTGAGAGACACACTTCCATTGGCAATGGAGATTCTACTTTGCTACCCTCGAAACCGAATTAATGGAAGAGGTTTCCTCAACAAGGGGCAGGACACCCAGGCCTTGCCACATCCAGACTGGGATGGAAATGCCACGTTTTCCTTCTTACAGGGCAGTCATGGGAGCATCGCCATGCCAAACACTGAACAGCAAAGATGAATTCCAACAGGATTTGCTTCCCTGCATTTGACAATTGATGGGGCACAGGACTGGCCTAGCAGCTTGTTTCCTATCAGCAGGGGCTGCCCCAAATGACTTCTGAGTTCCTTTCTGACTTAACAGTTCCATGGTATTATAAATACAGTAATACCTCGGTTCACGACCGCTTCTGTTCACAAACAATTCGGTTCGCGAACAGCAGCGTTCGCAAAATTTTGCTTTCCCTCGCCAACTCCGCATCGGGTAGCGAACACGACCCGCAGCCATCTTCCCTGCTCTGACATGTGGTCGTGGCTTCCTCCAGGCGAGATCGCGGTCGCAGACAGACACTTGCTGTGAAGTTTTTTGGTGTGCTTTTTAGCACATCCAGTACA